TTTACTTGCTGTTATTGAACGCCGAACGAGTGCATTCCCAGCTGTGCTAAACGATGACGCCAGGTTAATTGTTTGCTGTCAATACTGTTATCGGTTTCAGCATACCGTTCCTCACAAAACTATTATACTACAGATATCTTTTTTCAAATACTTTATCCGACTAATTCATTCAACCAGTTTAATCAGTTTTTTTCAACTAGTTTGACTATCCTCATGTACTGGTGATGATCTTGAAACATTCAACGTGCATCCTCGTGAATTCAACTTCTCTCCATTACTCCACGCTCTGGTAACGCACAAAGCTGCTAAGAATGATCTAATGTCACGATGATCTTACGCGCTGCCAATTAAGACAAATATGCTTTATGGTTGTTGTTGATATAGTGGGCTTGATATAGTGGAAATTTAGCACATAATCCTCTTCGGACTCTTTTGAAGTGATAAAAACGAAATGTGCAGAATTCTTCAAGAATTCATCAAAGATTAATGCGTGGAGCCAACCTAACTGATTAGTACAACCTCTGTCAAAAGCAATGTAACGTTATTCAATCTGTTTTCATTCGCATAGATTTCATTCAGGTATTATCTTAGCTATATATGATACTGAGATGTTCATTATGTTATCATTTCTACGTTCTTCTGACAAGTTCCTAGGTTAAAAAAGTCGTATAAATGGAATCCCAAAAATTGCAGGGAAGCTTTTGATTGGGTAAGAAAATGCTTCTCACTAACGATTCAGCGAGATTATTCAGTTACGAATCGTTGTGTAATATAATATGCTGAGTGTAGTTTGCAGTTTTTTAGAGAAGAGGTTATACATTGGTTCTTACAGATCTTATGGACCACGGTTTTATCCACTTCTGAACAAGCGACGTAATGCAGCACTTCGGAATTGTTTCTTCTCACCAGTTCAGTGTCTTTTACCTTTTGATAACAGATCACTGCGAAGGTTCACCGATCAAAGCATCACGGATTTCGACTGAGGCAACCGATCAATTATGATCACCGGTCACTAGTCACGATGCTTAAATATTTTGGAAATTATTTTTCTCGGTTAAACTGAGTGAAATTGTTTCGATATCATATATCTTCGTTTGATGCAGTAAATGAATAAAAATCGCCCAATGAATACCTTCTCATCCCCTTCGAACTAATCTGAACTGCAGTAACTTCATAAAGTGATTGGTGAATTTAACAAGAAACACCAAACCGAATTTTTTCCGCATGTATCCACGTATAACTGAATTGTTGTATTCATGGTGATGACATTGTATCTTCAGGAATTGCAGTAAATATTTTGAAGTACTTTGCCGTCAAATTATGAATCACTTTTTGTTTACAGAGATAGTTGCATAACTGATCGTCGTAATGAAAAACGAGAAAATCAATAGCTTTTTTCGGAAAGACTGATTTCGTTGATGCTTACCTGCATTAAGACGAGCGAATCGATGCAAGTAGCAATGTTTGGCCAGAAATGTTAGATCATAAAAGTGTACTACGTTCAACAATGACGAGAAGCACTCACTTCCGATAGTGAACAAAGAAATATCAACACTGTGCATAAATCAGCATGAAGATCAGCGCATATTTACAAAACATTGTATAAAGGTCACACTTAAACGAAGCACCTTCTAGGGAAACAACACCACACGCCATGAATACAAGAACATTCGCAGTTTATCACATTTGCTTCATTTGTCGCATTCAATTCTGCCTTAAAAATTCACGTTCTCTGCATTGAACGGCGGACNTGTCGCATTCAATTCTGCCTTAAAAATTCACGTTCTCTGCATTGAACGGCGGACATTGCATCTCTCAACGATTCAAATGTACAATGGAAGGTACTGCATTGTACCTTCCATTGTACATTTGAATGTACAAATGTACAATCAAATGTACAAATGCACTGCACATTTTCTGAACTTGACATCATTTGCATACAGTTTACTTATGTTAACTTACGTTAGATATTTATCTGGTCGACAGTGCGATAGTTTCGAGACCTCCACTTCAAACGTAAATACGTTGTTTGGTCGCATTCCGCAGGAAGAAAATAGATGTGTTACCATGCTGTTGTCTTACTCATAATTCCCATGTAAAAATTCACATGGTTTTTGCGCATCTAGGTCTCACACATAGCGTATTTATTACTTGTCTATGGGAAAATAATGTCTTTTGACCAAACTGTGATCAATACAAAAAAAGCATTTTCGTGTGAAAATTGTGCGCACGATACAGGCAAATAATGTCGCGGAATCTTTCAGTACACTCAGCTATTCTGTGAAGACTCAACAGGTTTTTTAATATTAGAATGGGAAGTGATATCAATACATTTAGACGTTTTCGGGAGAATGAAACAGATTTTCTCGTGAAATATTCTAAATACGAGTAGAAAAACATGCTTAATAGTAAGTGAAAATGTAAAAATCAATTATATTTCACGCTTTCACACGTTTCTATGCCTTTTACAGGCTTAGAGTGAGTATCACTCAATAGGTTTTTTAATGTTAGAGTGGGAAGTGAGTATCAATACATTTAGGCGTTTTCGGGAGAATGAAACAGATTTTCTCGTGAATTATTCTAAATACGAATGGAAAAACGTGCTTAAGTGAAAATGTAAAAATCAATTATATTTCACGCTTTCACACGCTTCTATGCCTTTTACAGGTCTGTTCTTCATTTCCACATGTTTCTATGCCCGCAGTCGTCTGACATTTCGG